TTCTGCAGTAACCTAGCAATGCATTACTTTGCTTATGACAGATTAATTCAATATGACTCCAATCTGAATTTAAATTTGTTGTGTAGACTCATTTTCTCTGCAGCATTAAAATGGCTACCAACACCAGACCTCAATATAGAAGATATAACTCAACAAATTTGCCTACCAAAAGCAGTAAGCCTTGAATCCATGCCAATCTTTTACACCACTTTACATCACAGCTCTTATGCCACACTGTTTCATATCATTCAACCCATGGCGTAATTGTTACTTCACAAAGCAAGTACATTTCAATTTGAAGGCACCAAACGGAGGTACTGTATGATCTAACAGGCAGCAAAGGAGATATGAGCGTTCAAAGCAATGTAAATGGCAATTGCACGTATAAACATTTTGTGCTAACCAATGCATTCTTGGTCGAATGTACAGCCTGTGTTTTGCTGGGAGTCTATGAAATCAAAATGAGTTTGAGAGTTGTCATATAAACAGAGCAAAACATTCATGTTGCAAACACATTTGGAAATGCAAACTTCAAATGCAAATTGATTTTTTTTAAACCAAAATCAAACTGAAATGCCCTCTGGAATTTAACCTCAATACACTTCCCCCAAGGCCTGAATCATTTAATTTCACTACTAATCCACTGAACCATGCAAACCTAGATAGCCCCTCGTTCAACCCCCATCTAAGAAAAAAGCATACATCACAAAAGTTCTACCCCAACAAACTCATCGCACAAAACCTATTTCAATTCCACTATCTCCTGGAAGAATGTTCTACATTTTTCTCTGTGAAATTCTTGGCAAAAATTGTAGATGAACACATTCCCACAATTAAAATTTCACCTCTCTCTCCTCCCACCTATCTGTGCTCCGTCTTACAGGTCTTTTAAATTTTAAATGCAAGTTCTTTAATTCTGCTAGAACTAGTTCTGCCAAGTCTTAATTAAATAACTTCTCACCAGTTAAATAACTTACTCACATCTCTATCATCTATTCCTCTTGTTGTTTTAAAGATTTCACTAACTCAGTTGCGCGCTGTGTTAACAGCATGGAACATGCAGGGGTACTCAATTAATTTCATAGTCAATGTATTACAGCAACAAAATACAGTCAGGCTACTCCTTCATAATCATTCTACAATGTCCCATTGCTGAAAGTACACATATGGAGTCTGGGACAAAACCACACCTAGTAAAGACCAAGTCATCAATATGTCGTCTCAAAATGTTGCAAGAATGGCCACAACGTACAATATAGCTGACGTAATAGGGGTTGGGCCCTCAACTATCTGTGAAATCATATTCTAACAAGTTACCACCTTAGGAAAGGAGAACATTTCTTCAGCTTTTATCACAAAAAAATCGATTTGTTTTCTAAGCTCAACTGCAAGTTGAGAATATTAAATAGCCACCACCACTTCCTTATTGATATTTTAAAATGTAAATTATTGATTAACCAATTTTCAGAGCAAGTTAGTTTGCATTTTGTTTATTTTAAATGATACAATCAGACGGTGTAAATGTTGCTTCAATATATTTTATTCCATGTTGGAAGATTTAATGCCAGTCTGGGCTTCGTTCATCACATTCCACACATGATGCACTCCACAGTGATTCAGAGAATGGATGCGATTTGATGAGACAATATTGCAGCATGCTGAACCACTAATACAAATAACAGTCTAAATTCCCTAAACTACCGAGTTAACAATCTAGACATGATTGTGGGAGATAATTACCAGTCACCGTCATGGTGCAGATTTTTTTTAAAACAAATCTGAGAGATTTTATTGAATACCCTCCTTTCACCTAGAGCATAGTTTATTCTTGACCTCTGGCCACACACAACCCCAAAAACTCAACCTCAATTTTCATGATTAAACAAGTCGATTAAATTATTCATGAAAATCACTTTTTAGAACCTACTACAGTTGCAAATATCCAGGCAACTACTGGATCACCTTTATATATTAAAAAAAACTGCAATTGATGGGTTCTAAACACGATTAGTCTAAAACTGTCTTGCCACCAACTACTCCAGTCGGCTAGTTCGGGCAGAGGCTGCTATCCCTGGAAATACCGTAGCATGCTGCAGATAAGTAGTATAGCAGTCCCATAGGGGATAGAGTGACCATTTCTCTGCTGCAGGTGTTAAAAATAAAGATGACTTTCGCTCATCTTCTCCAACACAATATTTTCTATGCCGGCAAATTAAAATTAGTGTATTTTTGACAATGTGATATTTTTGAATGAACTGGATTCTGGCATTAATTGGCTTCTCATTGCAAAACAGCCAGTGCTTCATAATTCAAAATGATTAAGATTTAGGACACTGTTAACTGAAGGTACTTGCTACTCTGTATGTATAGTTCATTTTTGGACTAACTCAAAAAAGTGGATCAATGGATCAGTAAAGCAGCATTATATTTCACAAGAGGCAGCTTACAGGCTAACCTATCTTCAAGCAATAACATAAAATTGATAATTAAAGGCAGTGGGAACTTTAAGATTAAAACTGCAATATTTGCTTAAAATGTACATCTCCCCAAAATGAACGAATTCAACAAGCTCTGGAGGCAAATGTTTTATGCTGCGTACACACACCTTTACATAATGTATTTTCCTCCAGGCCCTCTTATTTGACTGTGTGTCGAGAGGAGCATTTGATTCTTAACACTGCAAGTCATACTGACCTTATTCTATGCTGGTGTTGAACAAGAGGTTATTTAGCAGCATATTGGCCATGCAATGATCAGTTCATATACTAAAATCCATACTGTAAAAAGGAAGTATTTTGAGGCCTCTCTGGAAGACACTGCCAATGTCCCTAATTAATACAGCAATGGTGTTCACTTTCAGGATTTCCCCTGACCTTGCAGCTCCTCCATTATTCTCATGCTGAATGACATTGATTTCCGAACCTCTTCCAGCCTGGACCACAATAATCCTAACACACAGCTATCTTTTTTTTATTAAAACATATGCACAGCTACTGCATGACAGAAGATTTTTTAAAATGTCATTTTAACCCCTACTCTCCCCTCTTTAAGATAAAGGTGAATTACATAACTGCCGGATCAATTTCTAAAAATGCCAAGTTTTTCTTTGTAAATATGACAAACGCGGGTTGGGATACTATTTTCTAATTCATTTGCTCCCTTTTTTCATAAACTGAACACACACAAATTACCGACAACCTGCCCCCCCTCTTCCTCCCCATTTGTGACTCAACAGGATTTAATTTCAATCTCTGCAACAAAACAACACATTTTGCTTCACTTTAAATCGCAATGAAATTTGAGAAAAAAATGGAAACGAGGGGGTAGTGGTGGTGGTAGTGGGGGGAAAGGAGAAAAGAAAAACAACATTAAATATAAATTAGCATTCCCCTCTCCGCCGTCTTACAGCATTGATTTCACCGCTGTAACTAAATCATTCCAAATGTGGCTGTTCTGGTACTGTACTGTTCGGCACTGGGGCAAAGCCACGGGGAAAAAAACAGGTTAGAATATATTTAAAGGGGGAAAAAAGGGGGAGAGGAAGAGGGGGGGGGGGGCACTATCACAGTCAGGTCGGGCTCAATCCTCGTGCATTCCCTCCCGCATTGGGGTTTTATAGGGATTTGAGAGGAGAATCGAGTATTTATTGATACGAAATACTTCACCGTCTTCAAACTCTTAATTCTCTTTTCATACGAACAGCAACAACAACGACAGCAGCAACAACAACATGAAGGGCACCACTCCTCGCCACTGAACTGTGCATTCACGGAGTTTGCATTTGATTGCAACACAGAAGCCAACACTACAACAAACTAATGTTTATTTTTTAAAAAAGGGTTGAAGGGGGTGTGGGGGGGACATTAATAAATAAAACGCCCGCAGTTAAAGCCGTATTAAGATGCAAAGCCTTATCCACCACCACAACCCCCCGCGCCCCCCCGCACACCGGCCCCCCCCGCACACCGCCCCCCGCTCTCCCCCCGCACACCGGCCCCCACTTCCCCCCCGCACACCGGCCCCCACTTCCCCCCCGCACACCGGCCCCCGCTCCCCCCCCCCCGCACACCGGCCCCCGCTCCCCCCCGCACACCGGCCCCGCTCCCCCCCCCGCACACCGCCCCCGCTCCCCCCCCACCGCCCCCCCCCGCACACCGGCCCCCACTTCCCCCCGCACACCGGCCCCCGCTCCCCCCCCCCCCGCACACCGGCCCCCGCTCCCCCCCCGCACACCGGCCCCCGCTCCCCCCCCCCCCGCACACCGGCCCCCGCTCCCCCCCCCGCACACCGGCCCCCGCGCCCCCCCGCACACCGGCCCCCGCTCCCCCCCCCGCACACCGGCCCCCGCTCCCCCCCCCCCCCCCCCCCCGCACACCGGCCCCCGCCCCGCACACCGGCCCCCGCCCCGCACACCAGCCCCCCCGCACACCAGCCCCCCTCCCCCCCCCCGCCCCCGCCCCCCCCCCCGCACACCGGCCCCCGCTCCCCCCCCCCGCACACCGGCCCCCGCTCCCCCCCCCCGCACACCGGCCCCGCTCCGGCCCACACTGACAGGGAAGCAAACAGCAGCCTGAAAAACAGCTGAACCGCCACAGCCTCGGCTGGGGGGAGGGGGGGGTAAAATGCGGAATTAAACGCTCTCCCTCCCCGAGGCTGGGGCTCTCTCTCCCTCCCCCCCACCCCCTCCAGGCTGGGACTCCCCCCCACCCCCTCCAGGCTGGGGCTCTCTCCCCCCCCCCAGGCTGGGGCTCTCTCAGGGCCCGACACAAGCAGCTCCCCGTGAGCCGTCACCCCGTCCCCGGGACCACCCCTCTCTCTCTCTCTCTCTCTCTCCCCGGGGCTCCCTCCCTCCCTCCCTCCCGTCCTGCAGCGTCGCTCCCCCGCAACCTCACGCCGGTTCCCGCTTCCCAACACACCGGGGTTCACTCCACACCCCCCACCCCCCCGCCCGGTGCTCTCTGTGTGTGTGTGTGTCGGGGAGAGGGAGGGGGTGCACTTACCGCTCTGCGCGAGGGCCGTGCGGGGGCCGCTGAGCGCCAGGAGAGCGCACAGGGCGGCGGTCAGGGCGGCGGAGGCTGAGGCTGAGGCGGAGTGCGGGCCCCGGCGCGTTGCCATGGTAGCGCTGCGCTGCTGTCCGTGTGGCGGTGGCGGTGCCGCTGCTGCTCCGCGAGCCTCCGACAGCCGTCCGCCCGCTATCGCGAGACTCGCGCCGCATCCCCTCCCCCCCCCCCCCCCCGGGGGGACGCGGCGCCGCCCAGCGCCTGCGCAGTGACAGTGGCCCACAGCTCGCGTCATGACCCTGAGCTGCCGCAGAGGGGCGCTGCTGCTGTCGCCTTTCCCTCCCCCCCCCCACCCCTCTCTTCGAGCCGCTTGCGCAGCGGCGCCGTTGTCAGTGGTCATTACCCCGAGCTGCCGCAGGTGGCGCTGTTGCGGTTATTACCCCGCGCTGCCGCAGGGGGGCGCTGCAACAGCATTGCCTGAGACTGGGAGCAGCGGAGAGTTTGGGCAGATCACGAGTTCGGTCCCAGCCTCAGCCGCGCTTCCTGGTGACCTGTTCCGGTCGTTAATATAACAATAATAATCCCTGCATTTGATATAGCGCTTTTCACGTCGGGAGGACGTCCCAAAGCGCTTCACAGAACACACTGTAAAGTGAATTGACTGTATATTTGTGGGCGAACGCGGCAGCCAATTGCGCACAGCAATGTCCCACAAACAGTCGTAGATTGAAAATGACCAATTTATTATTGTTTTTGGTTTTGGAGGGATTATTATTAGGCTCTGTGTGGAGTAAGGAAACTTGCCCAAGGTTTCGCCCTCTGCCTGGAAGTGAACTCAGGTCTCTCACTTGCAAAGCGAGTGCTCTAACCACTGAGCTACAGGACTCCCCATAATAATCCTGGCATTTGATACAGCGCCATCGGGGCGTCTCTAAGCGCTTCACAGAATGTACTGTAAAATGAACTAACTGTGTGTTTTGTGGGTGAATTGCCCTCTTTAATTACCCAGAGGTTAATTACCCTATTGGGTAAAGAAAAAACTCCTGGTGTATGTCCTGAAATTGCCCTTTACAACTCGAAACTACTGACTTCCGGTTCTACTGTCTTACATAATAATAATAATAATAATAATAATCCTTGCAATCGATATAGCACCTTATCACATCTTTGAGAGACGACTCAAAGCGCTTCACAGGATATACTGTCAAGCGATGTGACTGTGCATTTTGTGGGCGAAACACGGCAGTCAGTTGTGCACACACAGCAGCGTCCCACAAGCAGTCGTGGATTGAGCGAGCAAATTATTTATTTTTCTTGGTACATCCCGAAGTATTTATCCAGCTTTACCTTTTTCAATGCCATTTTAAATATAAACACCGCTACAAGGTCCCTTCTGAGTCGTCTTCTCTCGGCGCCTTGAGACGTCTCGAAGACGTGATAAGGCGCTGTATCAATTGCAAGGATTGGTATTATTATTATTATGTTCTCAGTCTGAAGGTTCATAGCGGCCGTGTGGATTGGGTTTTGACACCCGTTGGGGAGAAAGCGTCACTTCAGCAATGTAAAACCACATAGAGTCGACAGTAATGGCTACAAATAGTCTGGTGATGATCACAAGCTGCTCGGTTTGGATGAACAAAGCCCTTCCTTCCAGAACACCCTCCCTGGCATCCTCTCGTCACAGTATCAAGCTGCTTTTTAATCGAGTCCATGTGTCCACGTGGTAACTGGAACACCCGATGTCCCATTTCTGTCTGAAATGTTGGTGTGACCGCTATTATATATGGTTTCACTGAAAATGTATTGCAAGCAATACACTTTATTCTGGACAATTATTGTTCCTTCACAAGTAAATAAGGTGTCAGCCTGGCTCAGTCGGTAGCACTTTGGGTCAGAAATTTGGGGGTTTAAGCCCCACGTCGGGACATTGAATTGATATAGTCCAGGCTGACACTCCTGTGCGGTGCTGGGGGAGGTCAGCATTGTTAGAGATGCCGTCCATCGGCTGGGATGTTAAACCAAGGTCCCGTGTAACTGTTCAGGTGGATGTTAAAGATCCCAAAGCACTATTGGAAAAATGAACCAAGTTTTTACTGGTGTCCTGGTCAAAAATCCCCCAAATATATTGTTATTGGTCAATGCAATAAGGTGTTATGTCAAGTGTAAGGATTATTTTTACAGGTTATGTTATTGTTGCTGGATATTCAGTTAACATTTACAGTATTCGTTTCATTCAAATCTCATTAAATTTTAAAGTCAATCACATTAGAGTATATTCTGTGAAGCACTTTGAGAAGTCTCAACAATGTGGTAAGAGGCTCATTGTCAAATGAAAGGATAATTATTATTACTGCATTATTGCTGCAGATCCCAATCAATCCGACATCTTTTAGAGCCCTATGAGGTCCCCTCTGAGATATTGTTTTAAGGTTGAGGAACCTGTCTTACTTAATCCTTCCTCAGTTACAGATTTAGAGTTATACACAGGAAGTATTTATTTACACAGCTGGAATAGGTTACCAGGAAGGGCAATTGAGGATTCCGGTTACGTTTAAAAAGTAGCTTGATCCTGTAATAGGAAGACGGTAGGGTGGGTATTCTGTAAGGATGAGATCAAATAGTCTTCTTCAATGTAACTCCTTTTATGATCCCTGTGCAATTTATCTAAGTGGAAACAGATGTATGGAATTATTTCACTTGTGGCAAAAAAAATCTAAAGAATAAAAGTCCTCTGTCCGCTAAGAGTTCTGAACACATGAATATTGATTAAAAATCAAAAGTCCAAAAGCTGGAAAAACTGAAATCCTCCTATGTCAGGAGGCCATCTCAAAGTCCCTTACGTGATTCACTTTAAAATGTAGTGGCTGTGTGTTTTGTAGGTGAACGCGGCAGCCAATTGTGCACACAGCGATGTCTCACAAACAGCCAGGAAGCGTTGGGGAATTGTTGAATCAAAAACAGATGACGCCGGGAGCACTCAGCAGGTCAGGCAGCATCTATGGAGAAAGGAAAGTGAGTCAACGTTTCGGGTCCATGACTCTTCGTCAGAACTGGGACATGTTGGGAGGGAGAGGCTTTTAAGGGCTAACAGTGAGGGGGGAGTCAGGGCCAGGAAGACAAAGGAGAAAATTGGGTAGCGGACAAGGTATGATGGGTTAAATGTGTGTTAATGATGCAAAATAAAGGGAGGGGGAAATTGCAACAGAATAGGCAGACGAGAGAGAGAAAAGGTGTGTCTGGGACCCAGATGATGTGGTGTTGGTCACAGAAGAGGGGGAGGGGAAGGTGAGCTGTTAGGGTCTGAAATTGTTGAAATCAATATTGAGGCCAAAGGGCTGTAAGGTCCCGAGCAAATAGATGAGGTGCTGTTCCCCGAGCTTGCACTGTGGCTCATTGGAACAGCGTAGGAGACCGTGGATGGAGAGGTCAGAGCGCGAGCCACAATGTCCCACGAACAGCCATGGAGTCAATACTGTAACTAATGGGAAAAATATAACTGTTCTGCTTTTTGAAATAAGATCACAGCTACAGCAAAGTAAAGCTAAGGCAATCTTTTCGGGTAAGAAGGATGTTCTCCGATGCTTGCTGTCGATAAGAGCGATGGCAAGAGGAAGCTGCAAACAGGAACAGGTAAGTTTCCACCGGTCAAGAAGCAACAAGCAGCGATTTAATTCAATTCGCTCCTCGCTTTAGTGTTGCGCCACACCACGTACCCCTCAGTGTTACATTTTTACTCACAGGCCTAGACTAACCCCATTCCCACTCTCAGGCCTAGGTCTTAGACCGAGAAGCTTTGGTAAAAATAGATATGTTGAATTATTACCCTATTACAATTTTGTCCTTCAGATGAGACATTAAACCAAGGATCCGTCTCCATATTTAGATGGATGTTAAAGATCCCATGATACTATTCAAAAAGAGAAAGGGAGTTTCTCCCAGTGTCCTGGCCAATAAATCTGAAAAATAAAACTGGTCACTCACTCCACGGCTGTTTGTGGAACATTTCTGTGCGCAACTGACTGCCACGATAGCCGACAAAACAGTATATCCTGTGAAGTGCTTTGAGATGTCTCGACGATGTGATACGGCGATATATCAAATGTAAGGATAATTATTATTAATTCTGTACAGTTGGTAAAGCTCTTCTGAGGTGGTGAGGCGGTTTAATAATCTTTACATTTGGCATAGTGCCTTTCACATCAGGAGGACGTCTCAAAGCACTTTGCATGATTTACTGTAAAGTGGAGTGCCTGTGGGTTAAAATATGTTAGCACAGAGCACGGGGACGTTTATTCTGGGTCTAGCATTTCGTCAACAAAATATACAGTCAAACCACTTAACAGCATATTCTGTGAAGCGCTTTGAGATGTCTTGAAGACGTGATAAGGATCTATAGTGCAAATATTATTATTATTATTATAACTCAAAGTCTCCGCCATCAACCATTGCTCCACTTTATCACAATGATGTGTGCAGCGCAGTGCACATCAGAGAAATGATCTGTTTAACAGGAAACCATAAAACATGCAGAGAGGGCAATTTTGGAAATCTGGCAACTCGTAACAGATTTCCTGCAGCATTGCACATCGCAGGCCGCCGAAAGGTTAATCCCAGGCGGATGCAACGTCTGCTACAACAGATTTCCTGCTGCACTCACTGTACACTTTGTGGCCCTCGTGCGCTAACTTGACTCTTTACCGTTTTCGAGATAATTTATCATGATGGGACTCATTTTTGAAGTTCGAACGAGCCTGTCCGTTTTTGACAGTGCGGTGTAACTAACACGGGACGTTAATCTGCCCACTTCGTTGAATCTAGCAGATGATGTGCTTTGGTTACGATCACAGATTGGGGGTGTGAACAGTGGAACGAACAGACAGATGAATTTTAATGGGCTTCTCCACCCTAGCGGTGGAGAGGGCGGAAAGATGACCGAAGGCGCGGTCAAAGAGTTGGACCTCGAATGAGGTGCGATAAGGGAGGGAGTCAGCTAAAGACCAAAGAGGACAGTCTTGAGACGGATAAACATTAAAATAAAAGGGTAAATATTAAAGTGAATTAGAATTGCAAAATATCCCTGGGATTTTTTCCAAGCACATTCAATGAAGGGAATAGAACAGTTCTCATTGATTTTGTACACTAGCTGCTCACAGCAATTGCACGCCTGACACCAAGGCAATGCCCATGCAATGCCGTGTTGATTTAAAGCTAATGAGAGGCAGGAGATTTCCTGTATACAGTACTGTAATTGCAGGACTGTGGCAAATTCGTAAACACTGCCTCCATTTTCAAGTCGGTTTTCTGTAAATTTCTTCCAATGACAGAAAATGGGTTTGAAAGTTAATACTGATATTCAACAACTTGCCAAATTCCGGAGGCTCTGAAATGCTGCAGAAATAGAGTAAATTTAGTCCCGGTGGGAATAACCTTCTTTGTTAGAACTAAGGCTCTTAGGACTAAGTGGAGTCTTGTAGCTCAGTGGTTAGAGAGCTCGCCTCGCAAGTGAGAGAACCCAGGTTCAACTCCCCAGGGAGGGCAAAACCTAAGGTAACTTTCCTTACTCCACACGCCCCTGTTGACCCAGCAGTAAGTAGGAACCCGGTTGTTAGTCGATTGGCGGGTCGCTATCCAGGTGTAATAATCCCTTAAAAAAATATGGTCACTCAATCCACGACTGTTTGTGGGAAACTGCAGGGCTGAGTTTCGGCCACACAATATACAGCCAAATCACTTCACAGTATATTTTGTGAAGCGCTTTGAGATGTTTCAATAACGTGAAAAAGCACTATATCCAATGCAAGGGTTATCACTAGCAGGATGTGTGGAATTTGCTCCGGCCTGCTTCAAGTCCCCCGCTTCGCCCACCACACCATTGGCGGGCGAGCCTTCAGCCACTCTGCCCCACCCTCCGGAACTCCATCCCGCAGTCCCCTCGCCTCACCCCCTCCCTTGCCTCCTTCAAGCCACGTCTCAAGCCCCTCCGCTTTGACCCTGCCTTCAATCACACTCCTCCCCCCCTGCCCTCCACCTTCCTCGTTCCCGACCCCCAGGTCGGGTCCAAAACACTGACTGTCCAGCGCCTTGGGACCCCCTCCCGACATGAAAGGTGCTATACAGATGTAATTTTGTTACTGCTGATGCTGTTAGTATCACTGCAATTACAACACTCTCCACCAGGGGGAAGGGTTTTACGGCAAACAAATACCTCTGTAAACCTCTGTGACTGGTGTTTGCATAAGGAAAAATACTAATCCTTGCATCTTGTCACATTGTTCAAACGCCTCAAATACACAGTCACTCCACTTCACACCCGTGAAGCCTTTGAGAGGTCCTCCCGATGTGAAGGGCTATTCCGAATGCAAGGATTATGATTGATGATCATAATCTGTACCGCGTTGATTGTTTTGCAAGGAAAGATACTGTGTAGAAAACGGACAAAAACAACTGGGATGATTTGTTCTGTTGCAACGTAGCTTGTTAGCACAGTATAGCACTGAAAAGATTGCGTGTTCAAACACGCCTCTCAGTTTGGTAGCAGAGTTGTACGTTTTGGATAGGTTTGAGCATTGAGCTGTAGATAATAATAATAATCCTTGCATGGATGTAGCGCTTTATCACAGAATATACTGTAAAGTGAACTGACTCTGGTTTTGTCGGCAATTGTGCACAGCAATGTCCCACAAACAGTCGAGAATTGAGTAAAGTCCTCCCAATGTGAAAGGTGCTATACGAATGTAATTTTGTTGTTTTTATTGTCGACCAAATTATTATTATTATGGTCTTTTTATTAACCCCGGAAAAGCAATCTGCCAATCGTCTAACAACTGGCTTTCTGCTTACTACAGGGTAAACAGAGGTGTGTGGAGTAAGGAAACTTGCCCAACGTGTCGCCCTGCCGGGAATCGAACCCAGGTCCTTTCACTTACGACTGTTTGTGGGACACTGCTGTACGCAATTGGCTGCTGCGTTTCGCCCACAAAATATGCAGTCAATTCACTTTACAGTATATTCTGTGAAGCGCTTTGAGACGTTTCGAAGACGTGAAAAGTGCTATATCAAATTCAAGGATTATTATTTATTATTGTTGTAGTAATCCTTGCATTTAATACAGCACCTTATTCGCATCGTTGAGACGTCTCAAAGCGCTTTACAAATATATTGTAAAGTGGATTCCTTAATGCACTGACTGCCCGGCTAGTTAATAAATTAAATGATAAATTAACACCAGCTTGCATTTATACAGCGCCCTTCATGTGGGATTATGTCTCGGAGTGCTTCACAGTTATGGGGGTGCAACCCCAGATAGGAAAAAGGGGGAGCAGAGGTGCCATAGGCACAGTTAAAGAGGTAGATTTTAAGATGGGATTTGAAGATAGATAAATAATAAAAACAATCCTCACATTTTTTATAGCACCTTATCACGCCTTCGAGACATCTCAAAGCGCTTCACGGAATATACTATAAAGTGAATTGACTGTATATTTTGTGGATGAAACATGGCAGCCAATTGCGCACAGCAGCGTCCCACACAAACAGTCGTGTTTGTGGGACAGACAAAATAGATAGATAAATTGACAGGCAGGAGGCAGGCAGACGGATAGATAGAGAGGGATGAGCCATTGAAACATCTTAAGCGCTTCACAGGATTTACTGTAAAGTGTAGTGACTGCGTAATTGTAGGCGAATGTGGTAACCAATTTGCGCACGGCAATGTCCGACAAACAGCCAAGATGTTTTAACTGATGATTGCTGGCCAGGACACTGGGAAAAACTCCCCTCTCTTTTCGAACAGCGCCATGGGATCTTTAACCTGAACAGGCAGGTGGGACCTCATCTTAATGTCTCATCTGAAGGTCGGCACCTCTGATAGTGCTCTCCCTGCTCTGCATTGCAGAGTCAGCCTAGGGCATTGAGTTCACCACCATGGGGCTTGAACCCACAACCTCCTCCTCAGGCGTGAGTGAGTTGCCCTGGACATGTGTGTGTGTGTGTGTGTGTGCGTGGTGACGGCTGGGAGGAGAGCCCGGCTGAGGGAGTGAGAGAGAGAGAGAGCGAGAGAGAGAGGGGGTGGGGGTGGTGTGGCAGTGTGCCCCTCAACCATGTGATTGCACCAGGGAAATCTGATCCATCCGAACCTCCAGTACAATCTGGTTTGCATTAGCAACAAAGCAGGGAAGACAGAATGTTAGCCAATGCATCGTGAGCCACCGCTCTCCTTCGGAGAGAGCGGATACAGTGGATTTGCTGCCAGCGCAGGCTGAGAAACACCTCGACAGATTGAGAGACCTCTCGAACCTGCTCACTCAAGCACCCAGCTGGTGTTTCCAAAAACCCGGACGTCCGTCTTGTTGGGGAGGAGGGTGTGGGATTTAAAGTAGAGAAGCACAAGCTCCAAAACTAATAATAATAATAATCCTGGTATTTGATACAGCGCCTTATCACACCGTTGAGACGTCTCAAAGCGCTTCACAGGATATACTGTAAAGTACACAGGAGAGTACAGGAGTGATCGTGTGCATTTTGCGGGTCGAAACGCGGCAGCCAATTGCGCTCAGCAGCGTCCCGCAAACAGTCGTGGGTTGAAGGGAGTGGAGGGCTGGGGGTTGTGATAGCGAGAGAGGGTATACACACACACACACACATGGTTGCCGGTTTTATTTGTCAGCAGGGCTAGGGTTTGTGTGCGCGTGTTTGCTGAGCACAAGCACAGAGAGCTGCTGTGTGTGTATGTGTGTGTGTGTGAGAGAGGGAGAGAGCAGAGAGTACGTGTGCTCATTGAGAATGTGTTCCCTGAGGGGGAACTCCCTCTCGCAGAGAGAGCGAGAGGCTCGCACACTGGCCAATGAACGGTTCAAGGGATTGCAGTGATGTCACCATACAAGGCAAGTCAGGATCAGCATCCACATTGCTGGAATAATGACGAGCTGGGCTGAGCAGCGAGCGGGTTGCACCATTCTGTAGTACTCTACGGTTTGCCATCCAGAAGTTTTAAGGGATCCAACTCCAGTCTGTGGGGCGGGGGGGGGCGGGGTGAAGTTTAAGCAGAGAAACTTTTTTAAAAGGGGGAAGACAGAGCTTTGGAGTTGCCTCACAGCGAGTGGGGCTGGAGTGGTCATGCCAGGCAGGGTGAGTAGTGTCCACTACAAAAGCCTTTTGTGTGAATGTTTGAATGAAAAAGCAGCGCAGAAAGTTGTAAAGCCTGACACTGGAACGTGGGTGGGTGGCGGGGAGATTTCAGTGGATCTAGCGGGTGTTTAGGTGGAAAATGCATCCGATTCGAGCAGAAGGAATGTTGCCTTGGCTGCGAGAGAAAGAATCGCACAGTTTGCTGTAAATCTTAACTCCTTCCTTGATCTCCGTCGGCGCGCACTTGTGTTTTTTTAGCAAAACGTATTGAATGTTGGAAAGAGTCGAGGTTCAAAGTTACAGGTCTTCTATAACCTTAGATTTTATATATCTTTTATGTTTTGTCCACAAAATATACAGTCAGTTCGCTTTGCTGTATATCCTGTGAAGCGCTTTGCGACGTCTCGAAGACGTGATAAGGCGCTATATCAAATGCAAGGAATATTATTATAATTATGCATCTTAAAGATACATTAAAGATCCCGTGGCGCTAGAGAAGGAGTTTCTTTCTCGCGGTGTCCAGGCCAACAACCCCCCAGATAAAATCGGTCACTCACTCCATGGCAGTTTATGCTGTACGCAAATTGGCTGTCGCGTTTCATCCACAAAATACACCGTTACTATACTTTACAGTGTAGGCTGTGAAGCGCTTTGAGACGTCTGGACAACTTGATAAGGCGAGGCGCTACATCAAATGCTAGGATTATTATTAATAATTATATTCACTGTAATTCTCTGTTGTGATCACACTGGCCTTTCATCTCTGGGATCTGGATTTGATCACTGTACAGGCTAATAAGATCTCCTTTGATAATAATAGGTGGGATTTGAAGATTGATAGAAGGATAGATAAGTAATAATAAATAATAATAATAACCCTTGCATTTGAGATAGCGCCTCAACACATCTTCGAGGCGTATCAAAGCTCTTCACAGAATATACTGTAAAGTGAATTGACTGAATATTTTATGGGCGAAATGCGGCAGCCAATTGCGCACAGCAGCGTCCCACAAGCAGTCGTGGATTGAGTGACCATATAATTATTGTTATTACTATTATTAGGCGAGGGCTAGGGTGAAGGTGTATTATGATTGATATTGTGGAGGGGCACTAGGGTGGTCTTCTGATCTCAGGTCTGACGTTCTCACTCAGTATCCCAGTCCTGTTTCCCTTTTTTTTGACAATAATAATATATAATAATCCTTGCATTTGATATAGCGCTTTTCGCGTCTTCTCGACGTCTCAAAGCGCTTCACAGAAATATTGTAAAGTGAATTGACTGTATTGAGACAAACTCAGTCCCTTCTCTGGGCTGAAGGAGCTGGTAGCAGCCAGCCAGAGGCTCACCTAATTTGCTCTGTTTAGAGAGGCCATAAGGGGGGAAGGGAGTGGAAGTGGGGGAGGGGAGGGGATCATCTAGGTTGCTTGCTCCTGATTTGCTAACCTGGAATCTCTGTTTCAATGTGCGTCTGTATCTAAATCCCTTCAGCGGCATACAATAGTTGATCATCCCTCAATCCACTTTACAGTATATTCTGTCAAGCGCTTTGAGACGTCTCCACGATGCGATAAGGCGTTGTATCGAATGCAAGGTTTATTATTATTATTTATTTCATGGCTGTTTTGGGGACGTTGCTGTGCGCAGATTGGCTGCCAGGTTTGTCTGCAAAGTACACAGTCATTTACACTTTCTAGTAACTTCTGCGAAGGGTTTTGAGCTTCTTCCCCCACTGTCCACATCTCCATTCCATAGTCCCTCCTTCTCATCATTTCACCTTCCCCTTTCCTCTCCCTCCTTGGCTACCTCCCAACGTGAAAGGTACCAAACAAATGTCAGGATTATTGGTCTATTGGTTTGTGGTTCTCTTGATTAAATAGAGGGTGAGAAGCCTTACAACGTCACCTGCAATTTGTCTGAAATTCAGCAACAGTTTCCGAGGATGTTGAATAATAATAATAATAATAATAATAATCCTTGCATTTGATATAGCATCGTATCACGTCGTTGAGACCTCTCAAAGCGTTTCACAGGATACACTCTAAAGTGGATTGACTGTGTATTTTGTGGGTGAAACAAAGTGACCATAAACTATCAAGGACCCTTTTCTTGTACTTAATGTTGAGCTATTGTGCCCATGAAGGGGAAATGCGAAGAACAATCTTACAAAAGACGTACCTTTACCACACACAGTCACTACACTTTACAGTAAATCCTGAGAAGTCTTTGAGAAATCCTCCCAATATGAAAAGCTAGGTATCAAATGCTATGAGTATTATTATCATTTACTCAAAAGCTAATAATAACAATCCTTACATGTGGTTTGGCGCCTTTCACGTCAGGAGGACGTCCCAAAGCATTTTACGGGATATATTGTAAAGTGTAGTGACTGTGCGTTTTGTGGGTGAACGTACCAGCTAATTTGCACATAGCAGTGTCCCACAAAACAGTCATGGTGTGAATGACTTATTTTATTTGGGGGATTGTTGGCCAGGACACCGGCAGAAACTCCCTTCTCTTTTCAAATAGTTCCGCCAATTGAGCCAGGCTGACAACCAGGAGTGACTGGAAAATAATAATAATAACAATCCTTGCAATTGATACAGCGCCTTATCACGCCTTCGAGACGTCTCAAAGCGCTTCACATCTGAAAAGTGAATTGACTGTATATATTTGATGGGCGAAACGCGGCAGCCAATTGTGCACAGCAACGTCCCACAAACAGTCGTGGATTGAGTGGATTTTTTGTGCCAGTTGTATATCGTGGCGCTATGTATTGAGGTGAATCAAGAGCTGGCTTCTTGCCAGATGAACATTTGAAATCTTTTCACTGTTGCAAAATGGGCGTTTGTGTAAACAATGGTCAAACTGAAGCAGAGTCGAGAGGAACGACTTCTCAGAGTGTTTATACAGTGGACAGTGACTCACAATGTAATTGCTTATTCCTGTGACTAATCATTACTGTGGCAAACCTTGGCCTTCTCTGTTGTTTGAGTTCCAATGATAACGTTCGCCTACAACTACACAGTCACTACCCTTTAGCAGTTAGAAATGTTTCGACGACACGATAAGGTAGTATATCAAATGCAAGGATTATTTATTAGTTATTTCTTATGTCATGTAAGGTGTCAGCCTGGCTCAGTGGGAGCACTCCAGCTTATGAATTAGAAGGCTGTGGGTTTACGTCCCGCGTAGGGACTTTGGGCTCACAGTCTATGCTAAAACCCAATACAATGCGCTACATTGTCAGAGGTGACGTTGTGCAGATGAGATGTCAAATTGAGGTTCCGTCCACCTGTTCAAGTGACTATGAAAGATCACATGGAGAAGAGAATGGAGTTTCTCACACTGTCTTGACCAACAGTAGAGTCCTGTAGCTCAGTGGTTAGAGCACTCGCCTTGCAAGCGAGAGACCTGGGTTTGATTCCCGGCAGAGCGAATCCTTGGGTTTCCTTACTCCACACGCCTGATAATATCCCTCAAAAAAACAATGATAAATTGGTCACTTCAATCCACTACTGTTTGTGCGACACTGCTGTGCGCAATTGGCTGCCGCATTTCGCCCACAAAATATGCAGTAATTTCACTTTATAGTCTATTCTGTCAAGCGCTTTGAGACGTCTAGAAAAGTGCTATATCAAATGCAAGGATTATTAATATTATAACATTCCCTCAGATAAAATTAACTATTCACGTCAAGGCTGTTTGTGGGACCTTCCTGTCTGCAAATTGGCTGACGGGATTGCCAACAAATACGCAGTCACTATGTTTGATATTAAGTCCCGTGAAGCTTTTCGAGATGTCTTCCTAGGGCAAAAGGAATTTTGCCCGCAAAATACACACTTTACAGTATATTCTGTGAAGTGCTTTGAGGCGCTATATCAAATGCAAGTATAATTATTATTGTTGGCAAAGAAACATATTATCCTGCAGATGGATTTGTGTAGGTTGAAAAGGATGGAAAGGGGTCTATTTCTTTCTCTCTCAATGTCCGAGCGAGCCATGTGTGGAGTACATTGTCCATTCAGCAGAAGATCAGCCGAGGAGACGAGAATCGATTTCCCCTTTTATTTGTGCGATCAGCTTTGGGCAGTGTCGGGAAAAACACTTGTGAGTTCTCGCAATGCTGCTCTCTGCAGCTGAAGTTGCTGTTGGATTCATCTGCTGCTAAATAACACATGACATTAAAACCCATGTGATGTGCTACGTTGCACTATTTCCAGAGAGCCACACTGACTCACAGTCATTGCCACTCAATCCCTTACTTTTTAAAGAAAATCCTTAATATTAATTATCAGCCCTCGATAATACTTCTTTGCAACTTCAGAAAGTTTATAAATAATACATATATGTATATATTCAATTGACTGCTCTGTTCTATTCACAAAGTACACAGTCAGTTAACTTTACAATATGTGACCGGATTTGATTCTTTATCGGGACTGTATCAGCCTTCAATTAAAAAAGCGTTAAGTTTATTTCAGAATCACTTTGAGATGTCTCGATGACGTGAAATGGCGCAAAATAATATACAAGGATTATTATTATTATTGACCACCCCCTCCCCCTCCCCCAACCCCACACCAGTAGATAGACTAGTAATCTGGAGCTGACACTCCAGCATGATAGTGACGAGGAGTTGTAATGCTGGAGATGTTATCTTTCAGATGAGTTTTTTTTACTGAATTCCCGTCTGACTGTTTGGTTGGGTCAGATAAACGCTAAAGATCTCAGGGCACTTCCTTGTTTTAAGGAGCTGCCTATCCAGGCGTCAGTCAATGCATCATTAAAGTTGCCACACTGAGCTTGAAGTGGAATGTCTCGCCCATTGTAAGCTTGTTATAGTCAATGTTGTTACACTTCGTGCCAAATGAATGTCTCGCCCAAGGATTTATTATAGAAAGAAAGGTGTGAGCAGATGCCTTCAAATAGCAACTCATATGTTCAGTCTCCAGCTCTTTAATGCCTGGGAGGGGGTTCAAGTGTTTGATCCCTGTGGGCT